GGCTTTGGCCTCTGCGTGGCCGACAGGTGGGGCGCTCGTGAGAGCTCTGTCCACTTACCCGCCGTCGTCACCGCTAATTCCGTGTCCTCGTGGGCCCTCCCCCAATAATCTGATCGGCTGATCAGCTGTCCCTGCGCGTGCGATTCGCGTTCGCCTGTTTGGGCGCATCGATGGGCCGATGTCTTGCGTCGATCGTCTGACCCACGGCTGACTCTTTCCCCCTGCTGTGAAGGTTACAACTGTTGAGAGAGCCGTCATTTGTTCGCCAGTGGTTCAGGCCTCTGCAGAACAGCCTTAGCAATCGGGCCGGACAGCAGGGAGCCCTTCAGTATTTCTTACTTTTGTTCGTAAACCCGGTTGTGGAAAGTGAAGAAAGTTCTGGGGCACACCGCCAGGAGTTCGATGACGTGCATTAATTTAAGTCCTTGATCAGTTTCATCAAACCTTCCCTAATGAAGCTTCTAAATTGTGCAGATGGCAGGGCCGCTTGAAATAGAGGGGAATAAAGGAGACCACGATCAGCAAACATAATCGCTGGTGAAACCATTTCGACAGTCCAAATGTCGGGGTACAGCGGAAGGAGACTATCGGATGCGTTTTGACTTCAGTCAGCCATCCGCAATCCTATGAAGCAGCTGAGACAAGAAACCCAAGCATGTGCTCGTTCACGGTGCAAATTGAACACAGTAGGGACTAGCACTTCATCAAATCGACGTTCATTAGTGCCTCTATACCTGTCATTCTCTGCCCCTACAGATCCGGCATTTATTCATTCAGGAATGGGCGTACACCGATTCATTGGCTTTCCAGAAAAAAACAGGCTTCATATGGCTCACGAACAGACAGAAACGTATGTATGTGTGCATATGCATGCAAAGTATCATTTCCGACACTGGAAAGAAAGACGAAAACCACCAGTTTGAGCTTATTTGACGTTATTAGTAAGCCAGATCCGATTTTGATTTTTGAAATTCCTCGACCTCCAACGCGCGACCTGTTGTTTGGAAGTTAATCTTCCTAGCCACTGCATTGCGGGGTCGATCTCTGGGAGAGTTAGGAAAATCTGTTTGATAAATTTTCGACACCCATTCCCCAAGGCGTAGTAAGATGTAAATCAAGTGCGCAAAAACATTTTCGGATAATACCTCTCCTCAATCATCAAATTATTGTGACTGCAGTTCCATCTGGTCTTGGTTTACTCAGCCTCACCACATACCTCATTTCACAATCGTGACTGATGAAATAACATGGCTGTACTTGATTAATAGGGTGCAAAACTTTTGATCGCAATTTGTATATGTATACCTCTTTAAATAGTTAAGACAAATGTGAGTGTTCATAATGTCCGCCTACCTTGAGCATGATCATTGATTATGAGCTTATATGCACCCTTAGGACTCTGCAATCATTTATTGTCTATTAATCATGAGGTATTTCCTTTTGTATTATTACCTGAAACAAAGCTGACCTGGATGAAGAATGCAGATCACTTCGTGCTGAAAAGAGAATTCGTGGAGTTCATGTTTAACGACGAGAGGGCTATCAAGGTGACAGAAGCGCTGCGACAGTTCGCATATAAGAATCACCCTCCTGAGCAGTTGTACGGAACCCTCGCCTACAATGCACACTTGGGAGCCCCTGGCGCCTGTCGGAATCTCTACGAGTTCGGTGATGAGAACGTGGATGTACTTCGCCTTCCGGAAATAGTCCGTTATAAGCTCTGGAGGCCAACCCCATGTCCTACGAAGTACGTCCGTGATATTTGCATTCTCGGATCTCAACATTTACCGGAATTGATCAACTCCCACAGGCTAATTGCCAACAAGTTTCATGAGGACTATTTTCCCGAAGGATATGACTGTCTTGAGTACGCAATTGCTGATCGCGCCTACAAGGGTCCAGCAGCCGGCTTCGATCCTTCCGTTTTCGCGAACCTCTACTGCTCTTCTGACCATATATAACCGTTCGAAATCCATACTGTATGTTTTGCAGTTTCTGTAGAATTTACTCATGGTGCTACCTGCCAAATAATGTACAAAGCAATAATGCTTGGGGTCGCGTATAATGTAGATATAAATATTTTTATCTTCACCCTTATCAATTGCTGTACCCGTCAAGATTATGTCATGGATGCACAACATCCTGCTGGACGGATATTCCTAATTTTATATTGTTTTGTTAAAGCATGTCAAATAATGTGTAGATTTGAGTACACCGGCAATCTGATAATTAGAGTGAATTGCGTATAGATCAGGGCCGTCATGTCGGATTTTTGTGCTGCTTTTCGTCCGCCAAGGATATACGTAGTCATTTTTAACCTTTGCCTTTGTTTGTTTTTTTGTTTGTGAAGTGGTGGACATGTCGACCAGACGCTCTATGTCCATATATGCAGCCTAGGAATCAAAACATTCTTTGGAATGGGTCTTGTGACAAAGGGTTGGGTTTATGTGTGATCACAACCCTCAAGACCAAGGACATAAGCAATCATTTGCATATTCACTCGATTCTCGCCAGTTGGCGAGTTGAGTTGGCGGGCCGAAAATGCGCTTGGCAATTATCTGTTAACGGCATTCGTCGTTGGAAATTAAGACTGATGCGTTCCATTTCGTCATCCCCCCTCCCACCAAGCATATTGCTCGGATTCGTACGTTCGAATATAGAAGTTGGCACATGGAGTGTGTGAGCTGTGATACAAAAATAATTGGTTTTCTTGTAAACTACTAAGGCAGTCAGTCCCAGTCAGTCAAGAGGCCGATCGTGAACTTGGAATCTTAGACAACGAAAAGATAGTGCATGCACAATCATATTTCCGTGTTTTCATGTATACGGTGTTGCATGGTCAGGTGGACGAAGTAACTACGCTGTGAGGCGGACAGGGGAAGGGACACAGTGTTTATTCCTGGAACCGACAGCAGTGGACAAGCGGTGGTTAAGGTCTTTGCTTCCAATAGCCAAAATACGGATGCTTTTGGTAAGATTCGCGAGCACTGCGTGACAACATGCAAGGGGTATTATGGAAAAGGAATTGTAAAGTACAGCAAATTGAGACATGTGTGGGGTAAGTAAGCGCTGATGTGCAATTTGCTTGCATATCCAACCCCGTTGAACTTCGCTTAATCGCAAAGACCACGCTCTTCAGCATGTTAACGGATCATGCTTAAAACCTGATTAACAAAAATTGTCATAGGCCCTCTATTTGTGCTCAAAGTATCTGCATATACGTCTTTCGATTGCGGTATTGCCCCCAATACTACCGGGTATCAAAGTAATTCTTAATGCATATCTTGCAACTTAACTGAAATGTTAATACCCAGTGAAAATACAGTTTGGGGCGATACATTTATCTGCCTCCCATCACTGACCTCAAAAGACACATGATATATGCATGGAATTTCAACGATGTGGTTATGTAGCCCAACTTGATGGACGCAATACCGTTGAGGTTGGGACTTTGGGTTAGGGTTAGAATCCATAGCTAGGCTAATGATTAGGGGTTAGGGGTGCGAGTTAGCAGTAAGAGTTAGGGGCTTAAGTTAGAGGTTATGGTTAAGAATTGGAGTTTGGGATTCGAGATAGGGAATACGGTTAGTGGTTAGGAGAACTATTTCTGAACCACTCTAAGTACGACCGAGAATTAACAATAGATTTTCTTTTGTACACAGCTACTTGACCTCCTCGCCTGTGCATTCCCCGGCCCTAGCTGTAAAAGCCCACATCACAACCGGACCCTATCACAGGTGGCTAGAGTGTGTTTACTCCAGGTGGGACAATATAACCACATCTGACCTATGTGGCATTTGCATTGACA